TCCGTAGATGCTTGGTTATGGATCTCAGAATATCCGTTCTGTTTTTAGGATCTATACTATTCTCAGGATCTACCTTGAGGTATGCTTCGATGCCTTGCTCAACCCCGTTCTGTCTTCGAGGGGAGAAGCTAGTGATGACAGTTGCTATCGTAAGGATATTAGTACCAAGGTTCCAGAGCATGAAAACAAAGAATTCCTCACTATCGTCTAGTACCCATAGCCATAGTTGGTCTACCATGATAATGGGACTGTCACCAAGCGTGGCATGAAGCGTTCGTCTTATCTTCTCATCATTGACCCCAGACAATGCTGCAGATATACGTTTCTCAACTTTATCAAGGTCCTTTATGGTTTGTGTAAGGTCTTGCATACTGCTTTCCTCTCCTTCTAGTATCGGATTCGTCCGAGAACGGGCCTGCAACAGTGTCCTCTCATGTTCCTTGACATCACTCGACCACGTTGGAAATCTTGATTCGTCCTTGGCCAAATATTGTAGTTTGATATTTTCGTCGCGTGCTCTGCTGACTACTTGATCACGATCTCTAACTTCAGTGTCTTTCAACTTGGAGTAATAGTATTGGTCAAGTGTTCGTCGAATGTGCAATGGTGGGTTCTTCCCGACATATGTGGTGAGAAGAGTGTCCGAAGGGTCGTCCTCGAGCACTGTTTCGCCCAACTGAATCCGGGCCGTATTGTTCACTTCGCCATTCAGTAGCCTGCTTGCAATGAGTGGTTTCCCCTCCAGGATCCTGGTCATGTTTTCTTGGCCTTGACATCTCTCCCAGTGGACATACGGCAGCTAGTGTTCGTATTCAGGCTTTATGTCATACAGATCAATATTAAAGAACACTTACACAAATGAAGAAGGGATGCATCTGTGTCGATGGTTCTGGTGTCACAGATACCATGTCTAACATTTGTTAGTAGTTCTCATAAAACGCCTTGGTAGTCACATGCCTGCACTCAAGATTTTGCATTGAGGAGTAATGGAATAAGTGTGCGGTGCTGAGCCCGGAGAAGTCGATTGTAAGTCCACTCCCCAGAGCTCTCTGCTGATTGCCGGTGCAGGATCCCGCTGTCTCTGTCTTATGTTGTTGACAAGATCCTGAGCGTCGCATCAAAGTAAGTGGTAGAATTTCCTACAATTAAGCGAACTGCTCACCTGAACCCATGCCATCTGGAAGAATTAGCCATCGCCTCTAAATTTACCAAGTACTCACATTGTTTGTTGGTAGATGTATCCAACGGAACCTTGGGTCAATGTACTCAGTAGACCCTATTGCAGGTAATTGCGGTAGGCTCTGGCTTTGCACAGCCTGCAATGGTGCCGAGGTTGATGAAAGAAGCCCGTTCGCCTGTATGACAGGCGTCACAAGGGTATTTGCGCGTGCCATAATATCACGAGGACTAGAAGAATACAGTATTTCGTCAATCAGAGGACGGCGGATTTGATGGACTTCACAATCCCGCTCGTCATCGATGCTGAAGTCGACAATGGTTGCTTGGAACCCCAAACCTGAGCCTCGCGGTAAGATCGTAGTTACTGGCTTTGCTGACGCTGATTTGAGCTGATTGAAGACCTTGGCTTTTGGTCCTGATGGTCCCCAATACTGGACACCGCGATTATGTAAACTTTCCTGTTCTGCCAACGCCTTGTCTTCAAGAGGCTTCATGATCCGCCGGATTTCAGACCATTGCATTGCATTTTGGCTGACTCGGAAGTGGTTGTCCTGGAAACCACCGGTGGGTAGGAAGTGAAGCTTATCTGCTACTTCCCTCGCCTTCCTGTCTTCCTCCTCCACAATCTGGGATGCTGTTCTTCCCCACGCGTCCTCGGCCTCAATCAATTCATCATCGAGTCGTCCACTCTCCAGAAGCAATTTGATCATAGCTGTATTTCCTTGCAGAGTGGCGATGTGAAGAACAGTTCTCTGTCCCAGATCTTTGACATCGCAACGAACGTCATTTTCAAAGAGAGTTTGGACTACATCTATGAGCCCATAGAATACTGCCATGTGTAGTATGTTGCAGTGTTGTCTGTCCCGAGCAGTGAGATTGGGCGACTTCAGATCCGTATGAGATAGAATCAGCTTTGTTAACGCAGAAGTTATCGCATGACCATGCCACTGTGATTGAGAAATCGCTGTACGTAACGCGCCTCCAAAATTTCCCTCCAGGTGGGGATCTGCTCCATTTTCAAGTAGATACCTAGCATGCGTAATTCTCGAACTGAACACGGCCGACTCAAGAGGGTAAACCCCTGCCATCCAGCCGGAACAATGATTGGGATTTCCACGTCCCAAAGTTATAAGCAGTTCTAGAATCGAAACAGATTTTTCAGATTCTGGTAAGGATACTGCTGCTACCAATGCTTCCGAGTTTCTAAGTTTTCGTGCGGTTTCGGTTGCGTTGTCATTCTGGAGAAGTAGTTCCACGATCGAAGGGGAAAAGGAATGAACGGCCGCTCCGACCGAACTGTAGAAAATGCCCTCTCCTTTATCGATAATGGCGCCATGATCGATCAAAGTTTTCAGGATCTCCAGATACGTCTGCGACACATCTTCCGGTTTGTAGACCTTGATGAAAGAATCCCAGAGACCGCTGGTATCCGGATCTGTTGTGTACGGGTCGCGAAGATCGCGCCACCCAGCCTTTGCTGCCGCCGCAAGTGGACTTCCATAAACACCCCCAGTCTGGTTTACATCAACCTCTTCTAGAGCGAGCAGGTGCTGGACAACATCTAGTCGACCCAGACATGCTGCTGCCTGCAAGATGCTTCCGTACCTTGCCCCACCACGGTTGAGGCTCGTGGCCTTGGATGTAGAGTTGGAGATGAGCTTGGATATCAGCTCACTACTAGAAAAAAAACATGCGGCCTCAAAACAAGTTCCGTAAGAGCACCCCGGCGAATCAACATCGGCCCCCTTTTCCAGAAATTTCTCAACAATGGACTCATCGACGCCATTCCCGATTCTACAGAACTTCAGGGCATATTGCAGAGCAAACTGTCCTTGTACACTGGTCTGAATATCTGGGTGATCGAGCAGATATTCAATTTTCGGAACTTGAGATGGTGTTTGGACCTGTAAAGCACAATCGAGAGGTGTAACACCGAACCAGTCAACAAAGTTTACATCAAACACTTTCTGTTCAGTCGGTCGAGGAGTAAAAATGCACCGCAGCATCTCCACGGAAGCATTCATCGCTGCCCATCGCAGAAAAGAGAACCAGTTTCCCGCCGTATCGTTGATCGAGAGACGGTGCGGGTTGAAGTTGGAAGTCGGTTCAAGTATATTCTGCATCCCAGGGGAGGTGAGAATTTTCTCGGCTTGTTCGACGGCGTCTCGTGTTACTGCAACCACAAACAAATGCCCGATTCCCATTTCCTGTGGTGGCCAGAGCTCTGGCGATAGAACAAATGGATTAGGCGCCTTTGTTGTGAGTTCTTGATAAGCTTGAAGGCAAATCGGGTCCGATGCCACGTAGACGGAACTGAAGTCATCCTGAGGCTCACTTGGTCCTTGTGGTGTTGATGGTGAGTTGGTGACTTGGAGATGTGGAGGTGCTGGTAATGTGGTGTTGGGAGGTACAGCCGTTGTTGGGGCAAGACTCGCCATCAGATTCACAGTAGTTCTGGGCGAGCAAGTGTGAAGACGAAAATTGACTGCTCGAACAACGATAGTAGTGAGATATATTCTTGAGTCGGAATAAATGCATGCTTCGAAGGACACTCAGCTGAGAGCGCCTCATTTTCAGCTCCAGCAAGAAACCGTTTGCGCCAGCAAATCACCGCTCACTCTCAGCTGTGTGGCTTTCAGCCACTACACTAAGTGCAATGATCATCACATTTTGTTGGCCAATGTTTTGCAGTTCAATTTGATCTTTAGTAAGAGATTCTTACTTCTTCCAACGCGAAATCTCGATTGCTGTAGATATCGGTGGCTGTATGAGGGCAACCGAGCTTGGCAAACAGAGCTACAAGTTCTGGATAATAGGCGAGGAGAAACACTTTACAGCATAGTATCCATATCTGCAAGTTGTTTCTTTTCTGCTGTCTGTCGTAGCTGAATGCCAAGGCCCCATTTGTCTGCCGCCAAGGTGACTGCTGCCTACAGGATTTCCTACGTCTGAGACTTTGTATACCTGTTGGAATAGGCAGATATGGTCAGTGAAGTGGAACAGAAGGCTTGATGGTATAATGGCATTGCGCACAGCATACATATTTGAGCGCTGTGAGATACGAGTTCGATCCTCGTTCAGGCCCGTGACAAGGTGTTTACATTTTTGGCGGCGCATCTTTGGCGCCTCTGTTGTCTGCAGGTGGGATTTCCCTGGTGGATCTCTGCACTTCGAGATTCTGATAGATCTGATAGTACATGAGAAACATTGAACAACTTCTCTAATGTATCGAGGAATTGGTTTAAATCTTTCTCTTTTGATGCTTTTAACTTCCTTTCGAAGTTCGCGAATGTGGAGCTTCTGCCTTCGCTTAGGCCACCATCGAAATCAACACTAGCTTCGCCAATCATCTGTTTTGCAGATCACTCTCCATCTCCCCAAGTAAAGATTTCCCCCGCATCTAGAAATTTGAACAGGCTCTGAGGTACAATTGATAGAACCTATGGCTAAGAATGAATTGCCAAAAAAAATTCAGTTTCGAGCCCTGATGAAGCCCTCCAACTCTGTGGTCCCTGCGTTCCAAAGCTCAAAGTGATCAGGTCGTGGAGAGGCGTTCTAGGGCTGCTGGTCATACGCGTTGGGCCATTCTTATCTGTATCCCCGGGAAATCGACCCTACTCATTCCATTCATGACCTTAGCTTCTTTCCCTTCTTTTGTCTTCGGCTCGCGCTAGAGTCATGGTAAGGTAATCCTACTTACGCAGTGAAGGTACGTTTCTCAATCCATATTCACTCCCCATCTAGCATCTATTTCACTATCCTCCCCATCTACCCAAATAAGCACTTTCCTTCCATCGAACACCACTCCAACAACAAATAAAGGTTTCATGGTGTAATTGGTAGCACGCACAGCACAGAGGAATACGCTGTGAGATTCAGGTTCAAGTCCTGATGAAGCCCAGCGACCCGAGCCGGGCAAGTCGTTGTACCTCTTTAGGCGCATCGACTTGTCTGGCAGGGTCAATTTTTGTTTTTGTTTTTGTTTTTCTTTTGACTATTTGGGAGTATGATTAGGCCATGTTGACCAAGGCGTTTGGAGTTCTTGTTTGGTTCGGCTAGTTGCACAGTCTTTAGTGGGGAGCTTTGTTTTGCATTTTGTGTTTAGACGAGTCTATCAGCGAACTTAAGAATGCAATTTTGTGTTAGATAGAGATCCGCGATATGAGAAAACAACTGATAGAATTCTTCATTTCAAACAGGGCTCTTGAACAACTCCTCAACACCAACCCCGCATCCCGTAATAATCTCCCACATCCCCCTCGCCTCGTCCTCACACTTCTTCGCCAACTCCTCCTGCCCAAGCGCTATATACGCCTCACTTGCAGTCTTCAAAGCTCCAAAACTTTCAACGTTTACGATGCCCGTCCCCATCCCCATAGTGTCTAGACACGCTGAACCGTCCACCCCTCGCACCCCCACAAACCCAAAATTCCTTAATATTTTTATTGCATACCTCACAACCTTCGCATGGTTCCCTTTCTCGCGATGCGCTTCCGTGAGCCAGATCGAAGGATGCACAAGTAGGAGTCGAGGAATCTCAGCGTAGATTTCAGGCTCGTGTAAGTCTTCGAGTTTGCGTGTGAGGCGCTCGATGGCTTTGATGGTGCTACTCGATACACAACCTCCACTAGCACCACCGTTTCGGTTTCCACTTTTCAGAGCGAGATCTTTAATCTTCTCGACCAGTTCCCTCCTCTGCACGTGCATCTCATCAGGAGATTTCGCCTCGGAAGTGCACAGCACACAATCACATTCAAAGTCCCAATGCAGCGGGAACTCTTTCCTGCGCGTCAGGAAATGCGCTTCGGGTGCTAGGTACTGCTGTGTTAGTTCCGTGTTGGGCGGGATGTCGCTGTTTGCGCGGATGATCATCATGTCGCCGATGAAGGAGCGGGTTAGGTTCGGGAGGCACGAGTGGTTAATATAGGAGGCATGAATCCAGAGGCCGGTAGAGAGATGGCTGGGTTGTAGGTTTTGGGGGTGCGTTTTTTGGGAGGAGAGGTGGAATTGCAGGAGGGAGAGGGAGAGCCGGGGGCAGCTGAAGCAGTTTTTTAAGCGGATGGCTTCGATGAGAAAACTGAGAGTTGGAGGTCAGTCAGTAAGAGACTTCTCGAGATCACGAATAGGAGAGGGAATGGGGAATTGAGAGCCATACGAATCCACGACCGGCACCCCATCGACCATCTTGCCCTCCATCCCGGACCTCACATACCCACCAGCATCCAAATCCCAGAACTTTCCTTTCTCCCCACTCGCACCAGCTGCACTCCCAAAAAGCCTATCCCTTAACCTCAAAAACAGACCAGCCTGCGCCATCCTCTGCGTCCTCGAACTCGAATTGAAATTGTACAACACCACTCCCTCAGCCCTATTCTCACTATATAGATCCGGCAAACAAAAAGCTTTCTCACATAACACCAAACTCCCCTTCTTGATGAAACCTGTCGAGAACAAACCACGGCCATGCGTACCTGCTGAGCGGACCTCGGTGCTACCGTCGTATGTCGCGTGATCGAGGTGGATGGTGCCAGAGATTACGGTTTGGACCATGGAGGAAAAATCGTAGATTCCGGAGCTTTGCTCGTGAATCCGAGATGTGGCTCGGAGGAGCTCTTTCTGACTCTTAAGGTCGTAGGAGTTGAGTGCGAGGGCGGATTCGAAGTATGTCTTGCTTTCAGTGTAGAGACCTAGGGAGTAGGCGGCAAGTCCGGCGCAATGGTATGCTCGTAGGTCGGAGGGAGTTTCCGAGAGAGAGGAAAGTGCGTCCTTCTTTGCGGACAAGAATGATTTGGCAGTGAGGTTGGCGAAAGCACGTTTACGATACGTGTCTTTAAGGAATATAATATCCCCTAGAGGTGAGTTGTCAATCGCTTGGGTGTAGCTGTAAGCATTAGCTGGCTGTGACAGGACAACCTGTAACTCAGTGACCTACCATTCCACAGCCGAAGAATACTTCTTCTTTAAGTACGCTTTATCTCCCGCATTCCTCCACTGAGCAGGAGTAATCTCTACACTTCCCGAAGCAAATTGCATGATCATCGACATGGTCGGATCATCGCCTCTCAGGACAGCGATATCTGAGGGGTGGTCAACTCGAATGACAAAATCTCCTTCGCCATTGTATTTACAATACGGCTCTTTGATGGCAACTGTACTGTTGATAGGCAGAGAATATTGAGAACCACAATACAAGCTGTCTTCGAAACCAAGAACTAGCTTAGCCACGTCACCATCATCCCCCTCAATAATCGTGATGACCTCCGAGCAGTGGTAAGGACGGACGATTGTCCTACCTGTGAGAAAACCGCCTCGGTGATGAGATTCGAGCTTCAGGTCTTTGAATGGGATCTGTGATTCGTTAAAACATTATGCTCGAGAAGTTATATGAAGGATTGTAATACCTTCTGGAGCTCGTCGAGCGACACGCTCGAAGGCGCATAAGCTATTGGAAGAACAAACTCTCTGATTACGGGCTCAGAGTTCTTCAAAAGATCGATGTTATTGTAGTGAACAGCGAGCAATTCATCTTTGGAGTGTTTTTGAATTGCACTGTCTCCCTGGCCAGACGAGGACTCTTCGTAGATGCGTCTGTATTGATCTGGCGACAGCTCATATGAGCTGGTCTCTACTGCTTTGACGACCGTCATTTTAACATGAGCTGATATAGCAATGACATCTCTCGACTTATTTTACTCATCTGCTCAGATGGAGAAGTAGACACATATCATGTTTTAAAGACGCTGAGATCACCCGGCCCGTCCGGCCGCCACTTGGCTGCGTGAAGAGGATTATAGACGAAACAAGCGGCATGGCGAGCAAAGAACATTCGCATATAACTGGGGTCCGGGTAAATATTCCACTCGCACCACGCATCATGTAAAAGGCACTAGTGGCCAGGCAGGTATTCTGGTGTCTCCTCCCAGAGGCGTCGAATTTTCGACCATGGGAAAGTTGAGGCCTTGACATGAACGCCCCTGATTGACAACTCACAGAGTATCCATTTGACAATGCGTGTTAAAAGATGTCAACATTGATTATTCTTCAAAAATGTTGTGATGCCCATTTCCACCCCTTCAGGACTTGGCTTCTCAGCACAAACATCCGGTTCATATCCGAAGCAATTCCGCAAGAAATCCCTAGTAGTCGGCCCAATCGTAGCAACATACGTGCTGCTCGATCTCGGTTGGTCGAGCACTCTGACTTTGCCAGTCTCTGGATCTAGGCGACCCAATGCGCGAAGCATAGCTTCGCATCCCGTGGGCGAGAACACCACAACCCACCTCATGGGATTACCTTTGGTTTGTTCCAGTATGTCTACAAAGTCTTCTTCGAACGACTCCATGACGCCCGTTCCGTAGACTACCAATTCATCGACTTGTATACGGTGATCGTCTGCCAATGTGGGGTCCATCAGAGTCTTTGGTATGATGTCCCGTCTCTGCTCTCCTACTAAGAACAAGAGTGGTGGCTTGACCTTTCGGTCTTGATACCATTGCCCATAATGGTCGAGCATGTAGTGCGCCAAAGCTTCCCCATTGCCCATGTCAGCACCGAATATATTCAGTGGTGGACTCTGTGGTATAGCTCGGAGGGCTCGGGAGGTAGCAGGCCCAACGGTGTACAATGGGATATCTTGCAGATGAGGCCATTGCGCATCGCCTGTCCCAATTGTCAGAGCTAATCGAAGGAGCTGTTCGTTTGCAGATCCGCACCTCTACCTTCCTCCACCAACTTCGCAAATGCCTCCACCGCACGTTGGGATGTAAAGATCATGCCGCCATATGCCGACCCCAAATCTCTTCCAATCTGCTTGTTCTGCAGCAAGCTTTTCACGACATTGAGTCCTTGGTCGAGGAATTGATGCTCAAGAACTGGCACGAATGTGGGGTAAAATTGATCGGAGCCAGCTGTCGCTGTAGAGAATCGTTCTTCGTACCCATCATTTGGCGTTGATTTCGTTTTCAATAAAAGGACTGGTATAGAGCTTCCTGCTCCCTTGCCGGTGGTGGTCATCGTCGTCGCATTGTGATGTTGAGGGATGTTCAGAGTCGCGTCGAAGAATGACATCGTGAAGGCGGGGCAGGACTGATGTAAGCTACAAATCAGTGAGCTTAAACCTAGAGATACTGCAATGACAATGTCAATCCTAAGTAGGTTGAGTGGCATAACTGTTCAATGGATACTCTTCCATTGCAACGCTTGCCTTGAGCAAAAGTTTCTGAGACATGGAATAAAGAAGTAACTTCATAGGAAAGTCAATATTCCATCTGAGCCTCGGGTCGTGTCCGCCCGAGGCGGCCGACCAAACCGCGTTGACAAATCGAGAGCTTGAAGAGCTCGACATTTTTCGTCTTTCCTTACACTCCACCCATTTGTAGACTTTCTTTGGAAACAACAATGGCAGATGATACCCGGGAAAGAGAGACAGATTCAAGCCCCAGTGGGACTGCGCCAGCGCCTGTCAAAAAGTTCCCAAAAAATATCATTCTAGGGAAAGATGGCAAACCGTGAGCTTCATTTCCATGCTCACTTCCATACAACATTAGCTAACCCGCCCAAAGCTGTAAAACGTGCAACTCCCTCCGGGACATGACATCCCTCTCCAAGAACCTAACCAAAGCCCCGGCCCCCCGGACAGACTGTCCGCCAGACGTCGAAGAGCTAGGCCGTTCCTCCTGGACACTCCTCCACTCCATAGCCGCAACCTATCCTGCGAAGCCCACACCCACAGAGCAGAGCCAAGTAAGCCAGTTCATGGGCTTATTTTCAAAGTTATATCCGTGTTGGGTCTGCGCCGAGGATTTCCAGGACTGGATGACGAAGAATAAAGTGCGGACGGAGAGTAGAGAGGAGTTCGGGCAGTGGATGTGTGAGGCGCATAATGATGTCAATAAGAAGCT